CCACCTGTTTCAGTTCTCCCTAATTACGTTCTATGTGTTTATATACCCTGTGTTTTCCTCAGTTCCCCTGTCTTGCTTTAAAGTTACGTTGTGGTGTTTTATTCCTATGTTCGTCAGTGTTTAACTCTTGGATTGTTAATTAAAGTCTCACCTTTGGATTACCCCTTCGCTGTGTGCTTCGTCCGACCCACATCATGACAGAAAGCAAGACCACAAAACGAGATGACTGAGCCGAGCAACACTAACTGGGCTGAGGAGTGCCTGTGGGACCTTCGACAGGGTGAATGTCCTTTAGAGAGGTATGTGGAGGAGTTTATCGAGCTCTCACATCGGGACGTCATTCTCGGTGCCGTGTTTCGGTTGGGGCTGGATGAGAACATCATTCGTTACAGTTATCCAGCATGTGAATTCATCCTGGTCGAGATGATTAATCTCATTTTCTATTTAAACGGTTCGAAGTTTGAAGTAGAAGAAGTTAAAGATAACTCGACTCATTCTTATGCAGCCCCCACTGAAAAACACTTGGCCTCGCCAGTTCACCTCACGCCGGTAACCTCCACATACCGTTCTAATGGATCTGTGTCCTCTGCTCCTTTCGGGTTTCCTCGAGCCCGTAAGTGGGCATCTAACAGCGCAGACCTTGGAGCCAAGGTTGCAGACCCAGCTGTTGTATCAGTCCGATCAGCGCTCAAAGCCGCCTCCCTTCGTCCATCCTCTACTACAATACCCTTACCTATCCTCAGCCCAGAAACCGCAGCCGCTCCTCACTCAAGCCCGCCGGCCGCCGCTGATCCCAGTCCGCCAGCCGCCCTATTCACCCATAACCAGAAGAGGAATCTGAGGAGAAAGAGACTGCTCTCGGCCCTCATCCTCGCTCCCGTGTCGGCTCCAGCCCATGAGTCCGCTCCAGAATGCTCTCCAGTTCCCATATCCAGCACAAGGAGGGTCGCTGGTCCCGCATCAAGCCCTTGGAGGGCCTCAGGGGCCGAAATTTCCCCCAAATAATTTTTTTAGGGGGGCTATTGGCCTCCTGAACTGCCTGCTCCGCCATGGCCTCCTGAACTGCCCGCTCCGCCATGGGACACGGATCCGGTACCGCCTTGGAGGCGTCTCGTCCGGTCCTAGCCTGTTCTGAGGGACCTCCAAGGTGCCCACCCCTCGATGTTATGTGGCGCGAGGTCGCGCCTTTCGGAGGGGGTGTAATGTCACGTTTATGTTCAGTTTTTGTTTTGAATTCCCTGCATTTCTGTTCATCCTGCCTGGACCCAGTTTTCCATTGTTCCCTAATTAGTCTATTCTGTTCACCTATTTTGATTTAGTTCACCACCTGTTTCAGTTCTCCCTAATTACGTTCTATGTGTTTATATACCCTGTGTTTTCCTCAGTTCCCCTGTCTTGCTTTAAAGTTACGTTGTGGTATTTTATTCCTATGTTTGTCTGTGTTTAACTATTGGATTGTTAAAGTCTCAACTTTGGTTTACCCCTTCGCTGTGTGCTTCATCCGACCCACATCGTGACATAACCACTATGTATGCATGTATTGTATGACAAGCTAGACAAAATATTTTCAGGAGATAAAAAGAGATTTAAACATAAAAATAGAGCTAATACATACAATAAGTATAAACAGTGATCATCATCATCATCATGTACTTCATGGATGAATTTGTATTTATGCTAAAAAATAAATGGCCCTTTCAAATCTAGAAATTGCAAGGGATTACAGGAACCCTGGTGTATTTCCTTATAGTCAACATTCCAACTTGATAACATGCTAAAGTATGTTTTGTTCTATTATGTATAACTTGGGCATCTGGATTTTTCATGTCTGAAGTGCTGTTTAAAAATCTCTCACACAGGCCTGCATCACATCTTGAGAATATGTACATTTTCAGTTTTATTTAATTATTGGAAATGCTTTACAATAAGGTACATTAGTTACCCTCTGAGCCTCATTAAATGTCTGAAAATGTACCTACAAGCCACTTTTGTGTTCTTCCGTGCCATCTCTGTAGTACAAATTAATTTATTAATACTAATTTCTTATGATTTGTAACTTATTCTACTTATTATATGAAAAATGGGGCAAAAACAAAAGTGTTGCGTTTATAATTTTGTTCAGTGTATATACACATATACACACACTTTCTATACTGATGAGTCACAACAATAAAACCATTGACAGCCCAGGTAAAAAAGAAATACACTTTAGATGTACTAATATCGATGCACCTATTATATTTTGTTATTATACTATACTAAGTGCATAATAAATGTGTTATTTTGGAACAACTTTAAGTATGTTAAGTGCTCTTTAAGAAATGCTGAGATCAACTTTAAGCTAATTGCAATATATTTTAACATATTTAGTTGTGTTAAAATAGAACAACTTCACAGAACAATAAAGACAAACAGCCGTAAAGGCGAGATGAGGGCGTAAAGAGTACAGGCTAAGATCGGTGCAGGCGGCATAGAATCACAGTCCAATAAACAGATACGGGTCAGGCAGGCAGCAGAGAATCCAGAAACGAGAAACTGTCCAGATCACAAGAGAATTAACAATCCACAATGAAGAAACGCTCAGAGATTATCACATAGGCAAATCAAGACTTCGCATGAATGTGTGTGTGGTGTGCTTACATGGAGTGAGTGTAATGACTAGCAGGTGTGTGTGTGTGTGTGTGTGTGTGTGTGTGCAAGCTATTAAAAGAAATATATTTAAATTGTGCTTTTTCAGACATACTTACTATATTTTTATTATACTATACTAAGTGCATAATAAATGTGTTATTTTGGAACAACTTTAAGTATGTTAAGTGCTCTTTAAGAAATGCTAAGATCAACTTTAAGCTAATTGCAATATATTTTAACATATTTAGTTGTGTTAAAATGGAACAACTTCAAGCATCTTTAGTGTAATTTAAATGTACTTCTTTACATTATTTAAAATATACTTTTATACTTCTTGAAGTAAAGTTAGATTAGATTTTAAGCTTCACTTTAATGTGCTTCAAGAACATTTTCAATAGCATTTCAGCTCATTAGAAATGCATTACCAGTATACTATTAGTTTGCTATAAAGCTATTTTCAGCACTCTAATATGGTTTATTAAAAAGCACAAAAATCATTAAATCAACATGACACACACATACACTTTCAAATCTAGGAAACTTTAATGTACTTTACAACAATGAATCTTCTGTACATAAAAATTAATTCCTTGAGGACATTTAAGAAGCACAGCGTGTGCAATCAGTCCCAGGTATGTGGGCTTATGGGAATTGGAGTCCGAATGAGAATCAGTCAATATTCTGGTGAGGGTTCCCTCTGATGGTGCGGAGGCGGCGGTACGGCAGCCTCACTTGTGACAACCATATTGCAGGGGTTAAAGAAAAAAAAATCTTTTGACTGAATTTTTTTCGACCAAACCCCATTCCTCAGCCATACCCGTCACACACCCAGTTTAAGAGCAGTTTTTTTTTTGTTCTTGTAATTCGGAGCGCTTGTCCTCCTAATTTAAAAATTTAGGAGCACCTTCTGATCAATAATCAAAAAATATGCATTAGAATTTCTTTGACT